GGGTGGGGGGTGGGGTTTGTTGTAGGTCCCTGGGTTTGAAAACCCTGGAACCACTTGGACCTCGGATGAGCGTGGGTTGCTGTTTGGGTCCGTGAAGGCAGCCCGTTTAGGGAACGAGGGCCTCTCTCTGAAGCTCCGTGTTTAGGTAACAAGGGGCATGTGTACAGAGGCTCCGCAGGGAACGCGGGGTTGCTTATCGTCACTAGACTGCTTCCGTGCGATTCTGACTGGGTGGCCCTCTGCAGGGTGGGTGGGGAGGGGCGTGCTCATCTCCCCAGGAGCAGAGAGCCTCTTCTTCCTCCTGCAGACTGCCAGTGCTGCCGTCAGCAGCCCAAGGCCTAGCCCACTGGGCGCCACCGGGCGCCTCCCAAGCGCCACACGGTCCCAAGTCAAGTCAGATACTTACGGGGAGAAAAAGAACTCTGGATGCCCTTGCGAGCTACGAGCGCTGGAACTCTGGCAGCCACAAGGTGACCAGGAGGCCCCAAGCACAAGGGGGGAGGGGAGGAGAGAGGAGCAGCTTGGGTTTCCAGTGGTCTGAGAGCTCTCTGCTGCTCTCCGGACCCGGGTGGGGGGAATCACCCTTCTCTTCCTTAAGCCTTAATCATTTGCAGCCAAGTTTAGTTATGAACCGAAAAGTTCGGAGGGAGGGGAAAAAATGAGGTGCTGAAACCAAGGGCTCAAGTAGAGAGAAAACGGTTTGAGAATGATGAGGGTAACAAATGCACGAATGTGCCGGACACCATGGATGGACGGATGGATTGTGATAAGAGTTGTACGTCCCTAATAAAATAATTAAAAAACAACAACAAAAACCGACTAGTCTTCCTTTGACCTTTCCACACTAACCCATCTTCTGGGGTTAAAGTTACTTCCAAGTTCAGGAAAAGCACAGACAAACGCGGGGGTGGAATCCCCCTGCACTGGAGAACACGAACCCTCTGGGTGTGGCAGCCCGACAGGAAGCCACCCCGGAGCCCACTCCCTGCCCCGCACCTTGCATATAGCCTGCAGCTCCTCACTCTCCTTGTCATAGGAGGCCAGGAGGAAGCCCCCGTAGCGGCCGGCCCGCTTGCCCCGGCCCAGGTAGGCGCCAATCACCACGAGGTCCAGGGTGTCGCCCACGCCCTCCAGGTAGTCCTTCTTCAGCTGGGAGAGGATGGAGAGAGGTAAGGGGAGCCGTCCACTGCAGAGGCTCACGGGGACACGGATGGATGGACTTCCAAAGAGCGGGCCTCGGGAGGCTGCCGAGAGGG